AAAATATACTTTTTTAGTAGGAAAACTCAACATTATAAATTTGTCAATTCCCTCTAAATTAGTTTATAAAGTAAACTTGATCTCTTAAAAAAATACCAATAGATTTTGATTTTAGAAAGAGGCAGGTTTTTTCTAAAATTCCCAGGGAGAATATCAAGGACAATTGTGAAACGGTATAGTAAGAGAAAATTCCAGTTAAGTACAGTAGAATGAAGAGCTCTTTACACTTCATTTCCCCTGAGACCTCTCTGAAATGGGAGTAAAGGAAAAAGAAAACAAAAAAGGGAATGTAACCTTGCTAGATCAAAGAAATTCAGGAAAAACGGGAGATAAGAAATGGTAACACATTTGGAGACAATGAGAAGATGATGGAGGAATGGATGACCAGAGCTGAGAAAGCAGAGGTGTGTGTGCAGAGGTCTCTCCAGGGCCTACAGCCTGGAAGGAAAATGATTTACTGGTTCATGCCAGGCCTCAGAGATGGATATTTTTGTACCCTATGCCCCCAAGTGAACTAGCTCTGTCCTCATCCAGTGGCCCTACAATGAGGCCCAATAATGCACACCTCCTCCTCCTACTCCTCCCACACCCTAAGAATCCTATCACATTTTGCCAGTCTTACTTATGAAGAGTTGTCAAGGATCACCAGATAACTGAGGAAAGTCTTCAACATGAAAGATCAAAACAGAGAAAAAAAGTAAGTCAGGGAAAATAGAACAGTGTAGGGACCAGAAGAAAAGAATACACACACATACACTATAATCACGGATGGATCAAGGTGGTAATTGCAATGTTTCTGGTTGTCTCAAGCTTTTGGCTGAGATTCAGAAGGTTGAGGACAAAGTGGCTAACAAATATCCCCACCTTTTACTTTATATATTTATTTTTAAAGATTTTATTTATTAATGAGAGATACAAAGAGAGAGGCAGAGACACAGGCAGAGGGAGAAGCAGGCTCTCTGTGGGGAGCCCGATGTGGGACTCCATCCCAGGACCCCTGGATCATGCCCTGAGCCAAAGGAAGATGATTAACCACTGAGCCACCCAGGTGCCCCAGCACCCCTACCTTTTTTTTTTTTTTTAAGATCTTATGTATTTATTCATGAGACACACACACAGAGAGGCAGAGACAGGCAGAGGGAGAAGCAGGTCCCCTGCAGGGAGCCTGATGTGGGCCTCCATCCAGGAACTATCTGAGCTGAAGGCAGACACTCAACCATTGAGCCACCCAGACGTCCCACAACTTCACCTTTTAAAGAGAGGTGCTAGATGATTCACGTGTAGTGGGATACAGTGGTCAACAGCCTGGATGCAGGTGCTAGAGTGCCTGAGTCCAGATCCTGACTCTGCTCTTACTAGTTCGTGACTGTGGGGAGATCAGCTGACCTTTTTGTGTTTTGGTTTCCTTATCTGCAAAAGGAAGATCATCAAAGCACCCCGTCACAGAGTCATTGTGAGGATTCAAGGAATTTAATAATCCATGCAAAGTATTCAGAAAAGAGGCTGGCACTTAGAAAAAGCTCAGCGAATGTTAGCTAATTCTTACTGTTATGCATCATTAGCCCCTTACCCACCCTCAGGCCTATAGAAGGAAAGACATGAGTATCGTTGTTAAAATGTAGGTGTCTTTTTTCTTCAAAAATTTATTTGAGAGAGAGAGTGAGAGAGAAAGAGCATGAGCAGGGGGAGGGGCAGAGGGAGAAGGAGACTCCCTGATGAGCAAGGAGCCCCATGTGGGACTTGATCCCAGTACTCTGGGATCATGACCTGAGCTGAAGGCAAATGTTCAAACAACTGAGCCACCCAGGTGCCTCAAAATGTAGGTGTCTTTCATGTACCATCATGGGGGAGCATTGGGGAGTCCGTCCTTAACCTCCAGTCAACTTCAGTAAGCACCCAGAGCGTTTGACCTGTGTGCCCTAGAGCTGGATGGACTCCAGGACTGATATTTGGTAGGTACCTGAGAAAGCCCAAAGGTGAGAAGATGAGGCTAGACAGGCTTGAAGCGGTATAACAAAGAGTGAGGGTTTTGTAGGAACACCCTCATTTCTAGGATTTGGCAGGGAAAAGATTTATCCACATTTTTCATGGGCTGGATATGGCCCCATGGAAGGGGATTTGGCTAGTGGTTTCCTTGGACAGGGTCCTATTTCGTGGACTTTCTGCCAGGGGAGAGACGGCCTCAGCCAGCAGAGGCTCAAGCTTGCCAAGATGCAGAAATGAGAGGGCCTTGATTGCGTCAAGGGAACTATGGCTAAAAGGACCCCTGAAACTACACAGAGCTCCCACATAAGGAAGAATGGACATCTGGACACAGCTGGGACTTTGATCTTATCCTTTTTTTTTTTTTAAGATTTTATTTATTTATTCATGAGAGACACACAGAGAGAGACAGAGATATAGGCAGAGAGAGAAGCAGGCTTCCTGTGGGGAGCCCAAAGTGGGACTCGATGCCAGGATCCTGGGATCACGACCTGAGCTGAAGGCAGACATTCAACCACTGAGCCACCCAGGTACCCCTGCAAGTTTTTTTTAATTGGGAAATCTACTTTTTTTTTTTTTTTAGGTTTTATTTATTTATTTGAGATAGAGAGTGAGAGAGAGAGGGCACAAGCAGGGGGCAGAGGGAGAGGGAGAAGCAGACTCCCCACTGAGCAGGGAGCCTGATGTGGGGCTCGATCCAGGCCCCCAGATCATGACCTGAGCTGAAGGCAGACACTCAACCCCTGAGCCACCCAGGTGCCCCAGTTTTGCAGTCTTGATGTCTATGTTCTTGTTGCTCTCCCGTGGTATTGAATAAAACCCTCGGAAAATTTTAGCCTTCTCATAAGTATGTTAAAATCAGTCCATTGATAAAGGACACACAGCCTATATGTTTAAGTCCCTGTTTGCATTTGTATCAGAGGTTTAAAGAGGGCAGTCCACTCGTGAGGGGCAGCATGGTAATCAGCAAAGTAAGTGACTCTAAGAGGATATAAAAGTTGGGGTGTGGGGAGATTTTCTTCCCAGAGGTAAAGTTGGGCATGTCTGAATCTCACCAAAGGGAGGAGGCGATAAACACTACCTCCCAGCCTATGTGCTCCTAAACTGCTCGGTTATGCCAGGAAAACCTTTGTAAATAGGGTGAGTTATGGATAAACTGTTTTTGCTTGTTTATTTTTGGTTTGTTCTGTGCTTCTAGGGACTCATAAGCAACATGAAAGAAAAAGTAATTTGCTTCTTCATTTTGATCAAGATAGCTCAGCCGCTATCCTCTGAATTCTAGGCTGCTTTCCTGTGAGGATGCTCATTTATTCATGTAATATATATGAAGTGAAATAATCAATTGGCATTCACTGTCAGGTACTGTGAGGGAATGGGAATTCCCTGGTGAGCAAATAGAGACAAAAAGGTCATCTTCAGGGAAGCCTAAAGCTTGGTGGGGGAGAGAAATAGCATGGAGAAAACATTCCAGGATGAGGGGACAGTCTGTTTGAAAGAACAAGGCCATCAGGAATTTCAGCTGGAATTGCTTGAAAGGAGAGGATGGTGGCTGATGCTTTGAGAGGAGAAGTCAGCTCTTTGGAGCCTGGAAGAAGGGATGGGGTGGAGAGTGGGGTGGAAGGGAGCTGTAGGTAGTAGACTCAGGGACCTTGATGGAACACCATGCCTCAGTGGTGGCTGAACCTGTGGGTGGTGGCTGAGGGTACTTGTTGGGCCCTGAGACCAGGAAAGGTGGCAGTGAGGGGCACTGAGCCTCCTCAGTGTCCAAATGAAAGGAAGGATGAACACTTAGTGGCTCATCTCACAGGCATAAAAAGCAACAGAACAACTCCTTGGTGAGAGGCAGTATATTTGGGAGGCTGGACCTTTGTATCTGTAGCTAAAGCACTTAGGTTCAGATCCTAGTTCTACCAACAGCTTGGACAGTTACTTGAAAATGGGGGTTTACTCTGTTTTATCCAGTGGTGGGGAAGATTTAAATTGGCCTAATGCATGTTAAGTTCTTATAAGTGTTTGCCACTATGTCAGTGCTATAAACACATTAGGGAAAAAACAGGCAGATGTGAGGCCTGCCTCCAAAGTCCTTGACCTCATTGGTTCTCTGAAGGGCTGGCTGGTACAACCCGTGGGAGCAAGAGGGGTTTCCAAAGTGGGCTGAATTTCCAGCCAGATTAGGAAGTGGTTGAGGTTTGAGACAGGAAAACAAATGTTAAGGTAACACTTTTTTTTTTCATCCCAAGTTCCCAGAGCACTTCCCGTTCAGATCCATCGACAGGCTCGTGAGCCATTCCACTGTAGTAACGGTCGTGCCGGTGGTAAGCCTGAATCCAAACGGAGAAAGATGAGCGATTTTAAGGGGAATCAGACACGCAGAACCACATGGGTCACTGAGTCCTTAGAGACCCTCAAAGCGAGCACGCAGGTAAAGATCACAGTGGTGGGGGATCCCTGGGTGGCTCAGCGGTTTAGCGCCTGCCTTCGGCCCAGGGCGTGGTCCTGGAGACCCGGGATCGAGTCCTGCATTCCCGTATTCCCCCATCGGGCTCCCTGCGTGGAGCCTGCTTCTCCCTCTGCCTGTGTCTCTGCCCCCCCCCGTGTCTCTCATGAATAAATACACAGAATCTTACAAAAAAAAAAAATCACAGTGGTGGTGCCAGGGAACCCAACGGGAAGCACCATCACTGGAAGCAGCGTTTCAAGGAGGGCTGCCCCAACATCTGGAATGCACTGTCCCGCAGCTGCATCATCCAGCGGTGGCTCCAAGCAGAAAAGAGGTAATAAATCACGACTTAAGAGGGAGGGTCGCTCACAGAGGCGCAGCCCCGCTCCCCTGGCCGCGGCAGGTGAGCCCCTGGAGCTGCGCCCCCACGCGCCCCGCAGGTGGGCTCTGTGCGGCGGGGACGGCTCGGCGGCCTCGCTCCGCTGCAGCAGACCCGGACCCCCCGCGGGGCGGGGCCGGGGCCAGGGGCGGGGCCGGGGCCAGGGGCGGGGCCGGGGCCTGTCGGGGGCGGGGCCTGCCGGCGCATGCGCGCTCCCCCGCTGCCGGGGTCCTTGACGGGCGGAGCAGCGAGGGGGAGGGAAGCGGACCCCCCGGAGCCCCCGGGCAGCGCCGCCACACGTGCGGAGCCTCCAGCCCGGGCGTGCTCCGGGCCTAGCCTGCGGGCCGCTGCCGCCCGGGAGACGAGGGAGGCGGCCGGAAGCGAGGTTCAAGGTCCCGCGGCCGGAGCAGGTGGGCCCGGTAGGCCGCCGTGCGGGGGGGGCCCGGGGGGAGCCCGCGTGGCCCCCGCCGCAGCCCGGGTGGCCCGTGACGGCGGCCGGGGCTGGCGGCTGCAGGGCGGGGCGGGAGGGAGCGGGGACCGCGCTGGAAGGTGCCGCCGGGGCTGTGGCTGCGGAGCGGGGGTGGGGCAGGGGGAGGTCGGGCTCCCGGGGAGGGTGCCTAAGGCTCCGCAGGGCGAGGGGTCCGGAGCGCCGGCGGGGCGGTGAGCGAGCGCGGGGAGCCGGCTGTTGCGCGTTGCAGGCGGTGGGGGACGTAGGCTGGAGCGCTGGGAGGAGCGGAGACCTGGAAAGCGTGGAGCTTGGAAGCCAGAAGCAGCGCCTGCTTGCCGTGGGGGTGGGGGTGCGGGTGCGGGTGCGGGTGCGGGGGTGATCCAACAGGTCCGAGGCTGGACGTGGCCAAGAGGAGCCAGACGACCACGCGGGTTAGCAAGGTGGATGGAGGTGTCTGGTGGCCTTGGTGAGAGCAGTTGGTGGAGGGGATGGCCAGGCACTGCTCCATTGCACTTACTTAGCTCTGAGAGGTTCGAGAAGTATTTATCTGTGTAAGTTTTTGCAGTTCCTATTTTTTTAAGATATTTTTTCGAAGATTTATTTATTTATGAGAGAGAGAGAGAGAGAGGCAGAGGGAGGGAGAAGCAGGCTCCATGCAGGGTGCCCGACGCGGGACTCGATCCCAGGTCTCCAGGATCAGGCCCTGGGCTGAAGGCAGGCGCTAAACCGCCGAGCCACCCGGGGATCCTTAATCTCGAATTCCTGATCTAACCTTTCATTTGTTGTGTTTTTCAGGATTGGTAGGATGCCACAGGGAGCATACAGACATTTTTCTTTTTCTTTCTTTTTTTTTTTTTTTCTAATTCAGTAGGTGATTTCAAAAGTTTGGTTAAACAAGAGACTGCCATTCACCCAGACTAACCTCCAGTGTTTGGGGAGCCAGTCCTACACCCAGAAAGCTCCCAGTGACTGTTTGATGAATGCATTTATTTTCTCCCCTGTGGTCCTGTCTTCCCTCCCTGAATATAAAAGGCAGGGTAATGGATTTCTCCATTCACTGAATCAGCACAGCGGTGGCCTGTGCTGCCAGAGGAATTTGCTTTTCCACTTGAACAGGGTTGTAGGCTTGTGGAAGGTAGAGCCACTGCTCTCCCTGACACCCCAGAGAGGCAAATAAATGTTGGCATAGAAGATGCTTCCAGTAGATCCTCTGTGGGAGCATCTTGAAAATAATCTTACGTTCTGAGCATTTTTTGATCTTGGAAGCACATTTCAGGTGGCACTGTTGTAAAACACGTAAATGTTTTGTATTTAATTCCTACTTTGCACTTTCACGGAAAGACTTGCAGAACACCTTTGGATTAATGGAAAATTTAGCAAAGCGTTTCCCACATTCTTTAAAAAAAAAAAATCGTGAAATGTTCACTGGTAAAACAGGAAGCATAATGATTTTATGAGACCAGAAGTTTTCTGATTCATTAGTTAAGATAGACACGGAAAACTTAGATTCTACTAATAAATTAATAAGTTAGTATAAGAAGAGATATGAAATGGAAATAATATATATGTTTAGAAAGTATTTTGATTGTATTATAGCCCGTGAGTGTGTATACATGCATCTGTATGTGTAATACACATGTGTGTCATTAGACATAATTTACGTCTAATGGATTAGATGAGAACTAAAGCTGTCTTCCCAGGAAGTACTTGGTGATTGCATTTCCTAGGCAAAGAATCTAGAAACTACTGATTTTTGGAAATGTTGAAACATGAACAAGTAAAACTTCGTCCTACTTTATTATTTGGAGTTCAGTGTTCTGGTGAAAGTAATTTTATTACTCAATAATGAAAACATTTAAATAGGAAAACTTGGATGAAAAATTAGTAACATTTTACCTAGGCATTATGTCCTAATCTTGTCAATCATACAATAAAAAAATTCCTTAATATTGCCAAGTGTTTAACAAATTTTTTTAAAGATTTTATTAAGTAATATCTACACCCAAAGTGGGGCTTAGACTCACAACCCTAAGATCAAGAGTCTCATGCTCTACGGAATAAGCCAGCTGGGCACCCCAGTATTCTCAAATTTTTGACAACTGTTTATAATTAGCAACAAATTCAATACTCCTGCTCAGAATAGAATGAAGATTTGTCTTCATTTCATAGCTATTTGGCAGAAGACCTATCACTGAGACCTTCTTGCATAAGAACTGTATAGACAAAGAGCACTGTAGCCGGCTGCTTTATTTTAATGCCTCTGTTGATTGGATTTTCCTTAAATTGTTTAAAGTTCTTAATGCTTTAAAATCCTACCTTTAGGGATCCCTGGGTGGCGCAGCGGTTTGGCGCCTGCCTTTGGCCCAGGGCGCGATCCCGGAGATCCGGGATCGAATCCCCCATCGGGCTTCCGGTGCATGGAGCCTGCTTCTCCCTCTGCCTGCGTCTCTGCCTCTCCCTCTCTGTGACTATCATAAATTAAAAAAAAAAAAAAAAATCCTACCTTCATGTCTGAGGAAAAAATAGGACAGTTTATTCAGGAGTTACCTAGAAGTCTTTGACCGTAAGCAGGAATGTTTGCAAACATTTGAAAACCTACAGAAGAAGAAAAGAATTTTCTGGAACAAAGTGATGTCTTCAAATTTTAGCAGTGGACTCAAACATCTTTTTTTTTTTTTTTTTTTTTTTTAAGATTTTATTTATTTACTCATGAGAGACACACAGAGAGAGACAGAGACGCAGAGGGAGAAGCAGGCTCCATGCAGGGTCTCCAGGATCATGCCCTGGACTGAGGGCGGCGCTAAACCGCTGAGCCACCCAGGCTGCCCAAACATCTTACTTTTTGAGAGAAGTAACTAAAGATATATATTAAGCTAAAAATGATCGCATAAGTAACTTCATGTAATACGTGTGAAAGTTTTAGGCAAGTTAGTATTCCCAGTATTGGAAACTTTGATTTTCACAGTTTTTATCAAGATGTGCAAATTTAACAGTTATCATCTATGACAGTATCTTAAAGTCTCAAATGAATTTTTTCTTTCTTTTTTTTTAATGAATTTTTTCTTGATAATTATTGAAGCTGGCTGATGGGAGCATAAGAATTCATTATATTATTTTTGTGTATGTTTAAGTTTTTCCATAATTTAAAAAAAAAAACTATCACAACACCTCACTTGTTACTGAGGTGTTTCAAATAATTAGTTTTTCCAAATAAATTGAAGTTTCTCAAAAGCCTATCCTGCCCATGCCAGGTGAAAATCATGTCAAGCCATTTCCCCCTTGCATCCTTTATAAATGGGGCACTAGGGTGATTTTCATGATGGTTCAGCATTCCCATTGTTGCAGTCTGCAGGCTGCTTACCAGGGTTCCTCTGTACCCAAGTCAGCCCACGTCTTCCCCCACCCCCATCAGCAGCCAGGGGCCTTTTTTGGTGTTCCCAGGCTCTGACCTGCATTCCTTCTTTGCAGAAAGGACTCCAGGCAGCCAGAGGGTCTTGTCCCATGAGGTTGTTGTAGAAACCAGCACTACACCATTTTTCTCTAACCTACCCTCTTTTTCAAAATTCCAAGCTTCTTCTCTAGTCTTTTTGATTACATCAGGGATGGGTTATGCTGCAAATTTGTCATTGTGCTTGCTTTTTTTTTTTTCTTTTTGTTTTTAAGTGAGGTTTATTGAAATATGACTTAGGTATTATGAAATTTCACCCTTCTTATTATATATACAATTCCATGAGTTTTTGGAAACCACTACAAAATAAAGACATAGAATTTTCCACTGCTTTACTGCTTTAAAAAAGTTCCCTGGCCCTCCTTACCTCCTCCCTCCCCCAGTTCCTGCAAACCAAGGATATGATTTCTGTACCTACAGTTTTGCTCTTTCATAATATCATATAAATGATCTCAAATAGTATGTAGGTTTTTGGTTTTAGCTTCATTTGCTTAGCATAATGCTTTTCTTTATTTTTTGTTACTTCAAAATAATTATAGGTTTACAGAAATGTTGCAGAAATAGTACACAGAATTCCCATATATTGTTCATCCAATTTCCCCTAAGGTTAACGTGTTACCAAACTAGAATACAAGGATCTAAACCAGGACATTGACCTTGGCAAGATACTGTTTGCTATTTTTGCCTCTGCAAAATTTCACTCAAATTTTGCCACTTCTCCCAGCAGTGTCTCCTTTCATGTCTTGAATCCAACCCAGAATCCCTTTGGAGAATTTCTTTGTCATGTCTCTTTAAGTCTGCAATCTGGGGAGAAGTCCCCAGTCTTTATTTTTCATTAACTTGGTAACTTTATTGAAGAGTACCAGTCAATTTTGCTATAGAATGCTTCCCCCACTGGAGTTTGTCTGCTGTATTTTTAATAATTAAATTAAATGCATTTTGGGGGGAAATTCTACAGAAGTGATGTTTGGCCCTCTCATTGCATCCTCTAAGGAGCTAGATGAAGTCAGTATGTCTTATTACTGATGATGTTAATTTTGATCACTCAGTTGAGGTTGGGTCTGTTAGCTTTTTCTCCTGTCAAGTTACTATTGCATAATACTTTAAAAGCTCACTCATGTTTTTGCATAGAGTGGCAGTTTATTCTTTTCATTGTGGAATAATATTTCATTGTACAGATGAATCACAGTTGGTGTTTTGTTTTTTGTTTTTCCCCCTTTATAAGTTGACGGACATTTGGTTTGCTTCCTTGTTTTGTCCTGGCCCTATGCAATGGACCCTGGTGTTCTGTTGAACATAATTTCACAGAGTACCAACATCAGACAAGGCTATCCTGTGACCACAGTGAATCAGGACAAAGACAAGACAACTCCATCATTAGGTCTGAACCCAGACAAAAACCCAGACAGACCATCCTCCTATCCTGGCTAATAGGAGAGACTGCTGCGTCTTGACCCCAGCTCCAGCCTTGTTTCACTTGTTGCACCTTTTCAGGAAGGTTCACGAAGATAACCAAGGTGTCCTGTTCCCTGACGGTCTAGAACAAAGCTTGCTTCTAGCAACTCTCACTAGCCTTCCTGACACAGACCCGGCTCCTGTAATAAATCCGTGCTAACACTGTACCTGAGACACTTTGCAGGTCCTCACAGTGTGCTGCTCTCTCCTTGCAACTTGTTCAACCTCAGGTGTGTTTGTGGTCTTTCACTGGAGAGCACGGACACTGTAAACCTACAAACACATGCATTGAAAATCCTTGCTTTTCCTCTGGTCTCCAAACACGCTATTTCTCACCCCACCTCCAACTCTTTCTACTCATTACTTGGGAAATCTTCCATTTTTTAAAATGCAAATGTAGATAAATGCTATAGTATATACTTCTATCTCCTTCCGTTTCTCTTACAAAACACTATATGCATCTGACTTTTTCCCCTCTTTATCTTCTGGAGATACTGGTCAAGGTTCTAGAGAATGTCTTGGGATGCCTGGCTGGGTCAGGCGGTAGAGCATGCAGCTCTTGATCTTGGGGTTGTAAATTTAAGCCCTATGTTGGGTATAGAGCTTACATTAAAAAAAAAAAAAAAAGATTAAGAGAGAATGTCTTTTTTTTTTTTTAACATGAAATCTGCACATTGGAATGCTTTGTGGAATGAAATAATCAATTTGTCACTAACAGGTTTTTAAAACCTTTCTATTTTATTTTTCATTTTTAAATTTTTTTAGTAACTGGTTTTTGAGCCTCATCTTCCAGACATTTTAAAATATTTTAAAAATTTTATTTAAATTCAATTAACATATAATGTATCATTGGTTTCAGAGGTAGATTCAGTGATTCATTAGTCTTATATAACTCTCACTGCTCTTTCCATCCTGTCCTCCTTAATGTCTGTCACCCAGTTACCCCCTCCCCCTACCTCCCTCCCCTCCAGCAACCCTCAGTTTGTTTCCTATGGTTAAGAGTCTCTTATGGTTTCAGATATTTATTTTTAACCTCTCTTACTATCCTCTGCTCTGCTGATACCAGCCATCACTTCTTTTTTTTTTTTTTTGTCTGCTTATAAATACAGTGGCAAATTACATTTAATCACTTTGTTCATTTGTTTTTTTTTATTTATTTTTTATTTATTTTTTTTTTTATTTTTTTTAAATTTTTATTTATTTATGATAGTCACAGAGAGAGAGAGAGGCAGAGACACAGGCAGAGGGAGAAGCAGGCTCCATGCACCGGGAGCCCGATGTGGGATTCGATCCGGGGTCTCCAGGATCGCGCCCTGGGCCAAAGGCAGGCGCCAAACCGCTGCGCCACCCAGGGATCCCCATTTGTTTTTTTTTAAATTGTAAAATACACAGAACATAAAAATTTACCACCTTAACCATTTTTTTATTCATGAAAGACAGAGGCAGAGACATAGGTAGGAAGGAGAAGCAGGATTCCATCCCAGGACCTCAGGATCACCACCTGAGCCAAATGCAGATGCTCAACCCCTGAGCCTCCCAAGTGCCCGCCATCTTTTTTTTTTTTTTTTAAGGTTTTATATATTTATTTATTTATTCGTGAGAGACACACAGAGAGAGGCAGAGACAGAGGCAGAGGGAGAAGCAGGCTCCCTGTAGGGAGCCTGATGTGGGACTCAATTCCAGGACCCCAGGATCACACCCTGGGCCAAAGGCAGACAGTTAACCGCTGAGCCACCCAGGCCCCCCAATGTGCCCCTTTTTAAGGGAACAGTTCAGTAGTGTTAAGTACATTTACTTTGTTGTATAATTAATCTCTAAAACTTTTTATTTTACAAAGCTGAAACCCTATGTCCATTACCTTTATTTTTAAACTATCCTATAGTTCACATACAGGAAAATTAACCCTTTTTGAGTATAGTGTTTCGTGGGTTTTGACAGACACAATCGTGTAACCACAGCCTTAATCAAGTCTTAGGACAGTTTTCTTACCCTTGAGAATCCCCTCCGGCCCCTTTGTGTTTTCACTCCTCCCTGCTCAGGCAGCCACTGGACCTATTTTCTGTTCCCTTAGTTTTGTCCCTTTTAGAATGTCATATTGGTGGATTCATATGCATATTTTATTGTCATTCTGGGTATTGTGACTGTGCCATTGTTTACTGAACTCATCCCCCATTGATAGGTTGTTTCCAGTCTCTTGCTGTTAACCACAGTGATCTAAAGAACAACTGTAGACTTGTCATTTTGGATGTGGGCAACTCTGTTTAAAAATTTTCCACACTTGGGGGATCCCTGGGTGGCGCAGCGGTTTAGCGCCTGCCTTTGGCCCAGGGCGCGATCCTGGAGATCCAGGATCGAATCCCACGTCGGGCTCCCAGTGCATGGAGCCTGCTTCTCCCTCTGCCTATGTCTCTGCCTGCCTCTCTCTCTCTCTCTCTCTCTCTCTCTCTCTCTCTTTCTATCATAAAAAAAAAAATTTTTTTTTCCACACTTGGGATTGCTAGGTCAAAGGGCAAATGCACTGGTAATTTTGATAGGTTGTCTTCCAAAGGGATTATGACATTTTGGTAAATGTGTTATTTTTCTGTTTTCTAGATCTACAGACCTTTCATTCTGAATTCTTCCAACAGTTTGCCCACTCGATCAGAGTCAGCCCTGCCAGTTACCCTTTTGATGTCAGTGAGCCAAATATTGTCCTTCTCTGTGTCTGGTTTTTTATAAAATTCCTCAGGGCTGGATAGAAATTTACTAAATGTGCTTTAAGTCACAGTTTCTTTTGACTTGATGTCCTCTTGGTCTTATTTGTTGGCATAGTACAAGTCTTCCCTGCCCAGTTCCATTCTCAGAATTTACATTCTCGTAGAAACTGTATTTTGACCAAAAGTTGAGAAGGCATGCCTTTTCCTTACCTTTTCATACCTTTTAAAAAGCAGCAGAGCTTGTTTTTTTCAAATGAATTTTCCCATCTTCCCCCTTCCCAAGCCTCTAAGGCAGTATTTCTCAAACTTGCAGAATACTGCTGGTCTGGGGGAGAACCACTGCTTCAGGGCCCTTTGGAGTGCTTGAGAACACAAGTGGGAAACAGTTGGTTTAGAGCACGAATACCATCAAGATCTGTTACTAATGATTTTTATAAAGGGCATTCTTACACACACACACACACACACACACACATATATATATACACACACACACACAAACACACATATAGATAGATACACACATGTATGTACAAAAACAAGTTGATTTTATTTGTTTCTGTGGTTTTTTTCTAGAACCCATCTCAGGAATTAGTACCACAAAGACAACTTGATGCAACCTCTTCAGATTGCCCCCTGTCGATTACTTTATGGGCTGTATCGTGGATTGAAGTCTCCAGCCTCCACTGGAACCCGGATTTGCCCAACAATGGCTCGACCAAGTTCAAGTAGGTCTTTCTCAGCCTGCCACCCCCTTCATCTCCAGTGGAATTTGTAGTACCTGAGAGTTCCTGGACTTTGAGGGGGAATGTCTATAGTGGCGCAAGTGCTAGGCAAGCTTTTGGAGAAAGCTGCCATCTTTCCTCAGGCAAGCCCCTTCCAGGACAGGGTCTGGGATTACCTCTGAGTAGTCAAACTGAAGTCCTTTGGAGACATTTTATTGCTTCTCCCAGAATATTTGCATTCAGGCTTCTCACCTAGGATTTGTCTTTTAAGGTCCTTGCCTCTCAGCGAGGTTTGTCCTTACAGCATTATATGGAGTTAAATGTTCTGCACAGATGGGATTCTTATCTCTAGCTGGGCTCTTAATCTGTAGTGAATATAGTGCCTAACAGATTTATATAATACAGGATCTTTGGTGGGCCTGTTAAACGTGTGTTAGTATGGCATTGAAAGGCCAAGCTGACCTCTTTTTGTTATTTTTCAACTTCTGGATAACTTCTTTCTAATATTGCAAGTGTGCCCAGACATACCAGCCCCTCCTTCCATTTTGCCCAAGTTCAGGAACAGAAAACAACAACATCCCTTGGGAATAAGGCAGGCTGCTTGAATCTATGGGGGACCCGCAGCTGTGTGCTTGCTTGACTTCTGCCCAGAGTGGGCCATCTGGGTTTGGAACTGCAAAAGTCCTGGGGTATTTTCCCTCAGTCATTGGGAAATGCCTCTTCTTTCTTCTTTCTTCTTTCTCCTTTCTCCTTTCTCCTTTCTTCTCCTCCTCCCCCTCCTCCTCCTCCCCTTCCCCCTCCTCCTCCTCCTTCTCCAGATTTTACACCATGTTAACATTATTGTATTTGCATCCTGTTTTCCAAGAACCAAACCCAAGCTGACCTTCTTGTTTCTAGAAGTTGCTAAAAGTGGGACCTTAATAGAATCACCTTAACTAGGATCTGTTCATCAGTAGGATGACGTTTCAGGTTTTTTTTTTTTTTTTTTTTTTTAAGATGTTTAGAGCTAAGGGAAAGCATTATGTGTGAACTTTGAAGTCCTTGAGAACATTTGTAGGGTTTGAACCCTCAAGTCATACAAAGAGTCCGTAGTAAAGTACTCTTTTATCTATTAAGCATCTTGTTTTTTTCAGGAGATTAGACCAAACTGCAAACTCTAATCCACCCAGACTGGATTTCTTTTTTTGAATTCTTCCTGGTTGGACAGCTTTAGTGAGCTTCATTTGTCATACTGGTCTGTCTCCGAAGGGAATGGGAGCGTGGGCTGAGCTTCGGCATGGTCGGCAAATGGTTGGACTAGTTATATCATAAGGGAACAGGGTACCAGCACCATCTTAAATCCTTTGGGACTTAAACTTCTAGACGTGATCCCAGAGAGCTTTAAGAATGTGATTGGAGGGGCACCTGGGTGGCTCAGTCAGTAAAATGTCTGCCTTTGGCTCAGGTCATGATCTCAGAGTCCTGGATTGATCGAGTCCTGAGTCAGGCTCCCTGCTCAGTGGGGAGCCTGCTTCTCCCTCTCCTTCTGCCCCTCCCCCTGCTTGTGTGCTCTCTCTGTCAAATAAATAAAATCTTAAAAAAAAAAAAAAGTTGGAGAGGGAGTTGGATCCTCTGCTTCTTTGTTTCTGAGAGTCTACTTTTACTCCCTGTGCCTTCTTACCAGTAGCCAGAGAGGAAGGGAAGGGGAGAAGGGATGGGGATCTTTATTGAGGTTCTCAGTCCTGGGCCAGTCATGAAGGTGACTCTGGGCTTACCAGGCTGAGGTCTTATAAGGGAGGTGGCAATATGAGAGACCAACAGAATCTGTCTTACCAGCTTGGGGTACAAAATGGAGTCATGTTCCTTTTCATATCTCAGTTCATTGTCTCTCCACCCCCATCCCCCTATCTCTCCTTTTCTCCATCTCGGCTATCCCCAGTTCCATCTCTCAGGGGATGCTCCTTCATTCCAGGGTCTCCATTGCCTCCAGTGGGGGAGGCCAGAAAACCTGCTGCACTAAGGACTCACCTGCACTTTTGCCAAAATTTGCAGTGCATTAGCATAGGTTAGCCACTCTGGGGAGATGTCTGTGTTGGCGGTGGTGGGGGTGGTGGTCACAGGCAGTGCTGGTCTGGCATTTTCCCATCCATTAGCTTTTAAAAATCTTTCTAACAGCCTGCTTGTGGGAAGGCAGTACTGTGTACATCAAACATCCAGAGAGCAGAGGGCAAGTCCTCACAGGTGGATGGATGGGAGACAGCCGAGATTCAAAGCCAGAGTCATGGGCCCTGCTTCTTTCTTTAAGATGCTATATGCTCGCACATTAGGCCACATGAATGGCGTCTTCATGGTACAGGAGTGATTTTTTTTTTAATTTTTAAAATTTAATTTATTTTTAAAAGATTTTATTTATACATTTGATAGAGAGCATAAGCAGGGGAGCAACAGGAAGCGGCAGAGGGAGAAGCAGGCTCCCCAGTGAGCAGGGAGCCCAATGTGGGGCTCTATCCCATGACCCTGGGATCATGACCTGAGCCAAAGGCAGATGCTTAACTGACTGAGCCACCCAGGCGGCCCTGATTTTTTTTAAAGATGTATTTGCTTATTTTAGAGAGAGAGAGACAATCTCAAGCAGACTCCATGCTCAGCGTGGACCCTGATACAGGGCTCAATCTCTTGACCCTGAGATAGCAACTTGAGTGGAAATCGAGAGTCAGATGCTCAACTGCCTGAACCTTGCAGGTGCCCCTGTATAGGACTGATTTTTATTTGGGTATCCTAAAGTATGATTTCACACGAGGTCAAGTCAAAATATGAACAATCAATACAGGATATAAATGTCCACATGGTACACTGGATTTATAAAGATTTTGTTCTTTCTTTAGATATGGCTGATTTTCGGAAGCTTTTTGCAAAAGCGAAGCACATAGTCATCATTTCAGGGGCTGGCGTTAGTGCTGAGAGCGGAGTCCCAACTTTCAGAGGAGCTGGGGGCTACTGGAGAAAATGGCAAGCTCAGGTGAGGGGCGTTTCCAGAATTCCGAGGGTTTCCTCTGAATGAAACCGTGGCAGAGTTTGACTCAAAGCCTGATGCCTAACCCAGGGGACAAAGTTCCAAAATTAACTGTGACTCTTGTCTTGCTTATTGTGGCATCGAAACACAGTGTGTGTGATGAAGGATTAAGGTCTCAGACATAAGCAAAATAGCCGCTTTCCTTGCTTTCTAGATCTGTATAGATTGTATTTATTCCCATAACAATTTATTTTATTTTATTTTATTTTTTAAAGGTTTCATTCATGTATTTGTGAGAGAGAGAGAGAGGGAGGCAGAGACACAGGCAGAGGGAGGAGCAGCCTTCCTGGGGGTAGCCCGATGTTGGACTTGATCCCAGGACCCTGGGATCATGCCCTGAGCCGAAGGCAGATGCTCAACCACTGAGCCATTCAGGCATCCCATATTCTCATAACAATTTGGATTTCTTCTGGTAATTAGAGTCAGAGAAATCTTGGTTAGCATAGTTCCAATCACTCTTCTACAGATTTTGAAATTAAATACTACACATTTTTAAAGTTCCTGTGACTTTTCATGTATTTTTAAAAGATTTTATTTATTTATTTGAGAGAGAGAGAGAGAGAATGCATGAGTGGCAATGGGGGGTAGACAGAGGGAGAGAGAGAAACAGATGCCCCGCTGAGCAGGGAGCCCCATGGTGGGGCTCAATCCCAGGACCCTGAGATCATGAGCTGAGCCCAAGGCAGATGCTTAACCACCTGAGCCACCCAGGTGCCCTTGAAATTTTCATATCTAAAGCCACAGTTGCACTGTTGAAGGCTTAGAGCTTCATGTGTAAAACTTTATATGAAGGCTATTAGAATGAAAGCTCTATGGGCATGGACTTTTTAAAAATTCAATTTGTATTAAGGTAAAAATAAAATAATTTAAGATTTACATTTGTATTCAGGTATAATATATAGTTGACCCTTGAACAACCTAGATTTGAATCGCGTGGGTCCACTGACACATGGATTTTTTTTTCTATATATATTATAAAATTTTTTAGATTTGCAGCAATTTGAAAAAACTCACAGATGAGCAGCATAACCTAGAAATATTTAAAAATTTAAGAAAAAGATATGTCATAAATTCATAAATGCATGAAATATATGTAGATACTAGTCTGTTTTTATCATTTATTACCATACAAATTTATTATAAAAATTTAAAATTTATTAAAACTTACGTACACAAATGCAGACCACATATGGTGCCATTCTTAGTCTAGAGAAATGTAAACAAATGTAATGATGCAGTATTAAATCTCACTTAAACCTGACTGTAGTGCCTACCGTACTTCTGTAATAGTTTTGTAGCTACCTCCTCCTGTTGCTGTTGCGGTGAGCTCAAATATGGCAAGTATCTGTTTAAGATTTGGTGTGACACTAGTCATCTCTATGTGAGCAGTTTGTCCCTCCAGTAAATTTCATGTTGCAGTAAAGAGTAGTCTCAAAAACAAACAAATAGACAAAAACAAAAAAAACCAACAAAAAAGAGTAATCTCTTGGAATACCACTTTGCACCAGCGAGAATGGCTAAAATTAACAAGACAGGAAACAATAAATGTTGGCCAGGATGTGGACAATGCTGGTAGGAATGCAAGCTGGTGCTGCCACTCTGGAAAACAGTATGAAGGTTCCTGGAGAAGTTAAAAATAGAGCTACCTTCCCACCCAGTAATTGTACTCCTGGGTATTTACCCCAAAGATACAGATGTAGTGAAATGACAGGACACCTGTACTCCAATGTTCATAGAAGAAATGTCCACAATAGCCAGACTGTGGAAAGTGCTGAGATGTCCTTGGACAGATGAATGGATAAAGAAGATGTGGTATAGATATACTATGGAATATTACTCAGCCGTCAGAGGATGAATACCTATATTTACATCGACATGGATGGAACTGTAGGGTATTAGGTTGAGTGCTAGAAGTCAGTCGAAGAAAGACAATGATCATATGGTTTCACTCATGCGGATATAAGAAATAGGGATAGGGACTATAAGGAAAGGGGAAAAACTGAGTGGGGAAAAATTAGAGAGGAAGAAAACCATGAGAAACTCCTAACTCTGAAAAATAAACAAAAAGTTGCAGAGGAGGAGGTGGGGTGGGGGAAGGGGGTAACTGGGTGATGGGCATTCAGAAAGGCATGTGGTGTGATGAGCACTGGGTGTTATACTATATGTTGGCCAATTGAATTTAAATAGGAAAAATTTTAAAAAGAGTGATCTCTTGGGGTTCCCGTATATTTTTCATCATGTTTAGTGCAATATGATCAACCCTGAATCATACCATGGGACCCATGCAAAGTGCCACTAGTGATGTAGAAAATGCTCCCAAAAAGCTGAGGAAAGTCATGACATGACATTTTAAAAAAAAGTTGAATTGCTTGATATGACCTATAGATTGAGGTCTGCCACTGTGGTTGCCCACCAATTATTTCAGGAAGATCCATTGGGGAAAAAAAAAGGAAATTCATGAGGCCATTGCCATAGCTATACCAGCAGGTGCAAAAATCTTGCACTTTTTTGTGAACTACATATATATATATATTTTTTTTGTAAATATTTTATTTATTTATTCATGAAAGACAGAGAGAGACACAGGCAGAGGGAGAAGCAGGCTCCCTACAAGGGGCCCGATGTGAGACTCGATCCTGGATCCCAGGATCATACCCTGAGCTGAAGGTAGATGCTCCACTGCTGAGCCACCCAGGCGTCCAGTGAAATATATTTTTATCTCATATTGAAAATGCGGCTTTTATGCAGTTCAGGATTGGCTTTAAGAGAGGTATACCTTTAGACTCCATGGTGATTTGAGAAAAAGCAAAGTCATTATATGATAACTTAAAGCAAAAAAAAAGGTAAAGGATCTAAAGCTGGAAAATTCAGAAGCAGCAGAATTTGGTTTGATAATCTTAAAAAGAGGTTTGGCTTAAAAAAAAAAAAGCCAAGCTAACAGGAGAAGTAGCTTCTGCCAGCCAAGAGGCAGCAGACAAGTTCCCAGACCCCATTAAGAAGATCTTTGAGGAGAGAATATGTCTGCCTACACAGGTTTTTTTTTTTTTTTTAATTTTTATTTATTTATGATAGTCAGAGAGAGAGAGAGAGAGAGAGGCAGAGACATAGGCAGAGGGAGAAGCAGGCTCCATGCACCGGGAGCCTGACGTGGGATTTGATCCTGGGTCTCCAGGATCACTCCCCGGGCCAAAGGCAGGCGCTAAACCGCTGTGCCACCCAGGGATCCCATGCGCCACCCAGGGATCCCCCTACACAGGTTTTTAATATAGACAGAGTGCCCTGTTCTGGGGGGAAAATATGCTACGAAGGATGTTTATTAGTAAGAGAGAAGTGATGCCAAGATTTAAGACAGGAAGGGATAGGCTAATTCTACCGTTTTATACAAATGCAGTCAGGTTTCTTTCTTTTTTATTTTTATTTTTTTTATTAGATTTTATTTATTTATTCATGAGAGACAGAGAGAAGCAGAGACACAGGCAGAGGAAGAAGCAGGTTCTATGTAGGGAGCCCGATGTGGGACTCATCCCAGGTCTTCAGGATAATGCCTCGAGCTGAAGGCGGCACTAAACCACTGAGCCACCCAGGCTGCCCTGCAGTCAGGTTTCTGATCAGGACAGCCCTTATCTATAAAGCTGATAACTCCACAAGTTTTCAAGGGAAAAGATAAATAGCAGGTGCCAGTCTTGGTTGTACAAGAAGGAGGCCTGGACAACAAGAATCCTGTTTCTGGATGGGCCCCATTGATGAAGTACCTTGCTAATAAGAGACTGCCTTTTAATGTTCCTTTGATATTGGACAATGCCCCTGGCCACCCAGAAGCCCGTGAGTTCAACACTGAAGGCATCAGACTGGTCTACTTGTTCCCAAACACAATATCTCTAATTCAGCCTGTAGGTCAAGGGGGTTATAAGGACCTTTAAGGCTCATGAAACACAGTGCTCTATGGAAAGGATTGTCAACACTGTGGAAGGGTACCCTGACAGAACATCATGAAAGTCTGGAAGGATTATGCTAGTAAAGATGGCATCATTAGGGAAGAAGCTGTGAAAGCCATCAAGCCCAAAACAATAAATTCTTTTTTTTTTAAAGATTTTATTTATTTATTCATTCACGAGAGACGCACACACACACACACACACACACACACACAGAGAGAGAGAGAGAGAGAGAGAGAGGCAGAGACACAGGCAGAGGGAGAAGTAGCCTCCATGCAGGGAGTCTGATGCAGGACTCTATCCCGGGACCCTGGGATCATGACCTGAGCCAAAGACGGACACTCAACCACTGAGCCACCTGTGTGGCTATGGGGCGTCCCCATAACAATGTTTCTAATACTGCATTATGAACATGGCTATAATACTGAATGCCGTAAAGATACTATAACCATTCATTAGTATAGCTGGTAGACCAGCTACCTTGAAGCCATGTTATCCATTGCACTAGGGACCATAAAGCAGTCCTATGGGTACTTCTTCATTATCAGTGTATGAATTTTCACGCATAAATAAATATGAATTTTTTAACATTATCTTTTATTTACTTAAAAGATTTATTTATTTATTTGTTCATGAGAGAGACAGAGACATAGGCAAAGGGAGAAGCAGACTCCCTGCGGGGAGCCTGATGTGGGACTTGATCCCTGGGATCACTGCCTGAGCCAAAGGCAGATGCTCAAACACTGAGCCACCCTAGTGCCCCTATCTTTTATTTTTTGATGTCTACTGTTAGTAATCTGTATAACATCTATAGTCTTTTGTATCGTATATAAGAATATTGATGTAGGCCCTGACAGATGATTTCTGGTGTAAACAGACAACATATTTTCGGCATTGATCCGTACAGGACAGCAATGTAAATGTATTTTCTCTTCCTTACAATTTTCTTAACATTTTCTTTTTTTCTAGTGTACTTTATTGTAAGAATACATTATATAATACATATAACATACAAAATATGTGTTACTTAACTGTTGATGTTATTGGTAAGGCTTCCAGTTGACAGTAGAAGCTATTAGTAGTTAAGTTTTGGGGAAGTCAGAAGTTACATGCAAGATTTTTGACTGCACAGAGGTTGGTGCTCTTAACCCCCACGTTGTTTAAGGGTTAACTGTACATGCAATAAAACTCACTGATTTGAAGTGTGTATTTAATCAATGAGTTTTAACAAGTGAGCCAACACCCATCCTGGTTACAATGTACCATTAGACCCTTAGGCACTGAGCCTCCTCCCCTCCTCTGGCCCAAGATATCCCTAGTTTAGAAATGTAGATTTTGTCAGTACATTGCTCTGTCCCCAGCTCCAGAACTCTGGCACATGTAAGAGCTTAGTAGACCTTTGTTGGTTGAATGAAGGTCATCATAAATAGTTACTTCAGTCATGAATTCCAGATTTAGTAGGTAGGTTCTTGTTAAGTGAAGGGTTGATGAACCTACCTTTCCTTCCCTACTAAATGCCTCGGGCTGGCAAATGTTTGGGATTTGTTACTTTTCTGCTGTCCTCGAGATGAGCCTACGGATGTAGATGTGAGGATCATTGCCTTAAAGGTGAAGGCGGGGAGGAAGAAGAGCAGAGGTTTTTTTTTTTTTTTTTTTTTAAAGATTTTATTTATTTATTCATGAGAGACACAGAGATAGAGAGGCAGAGACACAGGCAGTGGGAGAAGCAGGCTCCATGCAGGGAGCCTGACGCGGGACTCAATCCTGGGTCTCCAGGATCAGGCCCTGGGCTGAAGGCAGCGCTAAACCACTGAGCCACCAGGGCTGCCCGTGCATAGGGTTCTTAGGGTCCCACAAGACAGAGGATCCACACAGAGCAGTCCCTGAATTAGAGAAGCAGTGGGTGTGGGCCTAGAGGGCCTCAGGGTCTCTCCTAGAGGAGAGATGTGGTGAGTAGCGTCAAAGCAGCTCAGATTTTGTGGGGAAGCAAAGAAGTCAACAGAATGTGTTTGACTCCAGCTGTGTTCCAGGGACACACGTACACTAGTTCATGTGCCACCCGTAAACCATGTCAGGCCACTTGTGTTCTGAGTGGAGGGCAGGAAGCCAGTCCAGGGTGGATGTGGATAATCTGCAGCATAGACGTTTGCTCCCCCTTCATTCCCCAGATGAAGGCTGACACTACTGCTAGGCAGAAGGGTGACCTTTATAGTCAAAACGCGTAATACCAGCACCGCCACAGTCCAGATAGAGAATGCTTCAGTTCTTGCCAGAGCTTCCCCTGTGGCCCTCTCCCCATTGGCTTGCAGTTCCAGATGACAGCTACTCTCCTACCTTTCACTACAATGGAGGATTTTCTCTCCTAGAAGAGGAATCATCCTTTAAAAACATATTTTTTAAATATTCTGTTAACACGTATGCTCTTTTATATGTGTAGTTGTGTGTATCTGTGTAGCTATAATCATAAAAAACTCAATTGTGACCGTTAGACCTCAGGTGGGCATTTTGCATCATACATTTTTCCCCTAGATAAATGAAATTGACTTTCAGTATTTTAGGGCTCCATGAAAAAACAGATTCAACCTAAATCCCTTCTGGCATTACTTTGCTTCCTGTCCATAAGGTTCTTAACTGATAAATGGGACAGTTTGCGATATCCCTGCCTATTAAGTGGAGAAATTAAAACCGATTTCTCCAGGGTCCCCTGTTAGTCCAGGATTGGGGCTCAGCCTGGTGCCCGGAGCCCTGTCCCTAGTGGGGACGTCCGTGGGCCTGTGGTAGGTGTGCTGCAGCCTGCCCCCTCCCAGCGCTGCCTGCTGCCATGGTCCGGAGCGCCTGTGTGTCCCGCCCTCTCTGACTCCTGCCTCTTCTCTCGCCCCCAGGACCTGGCCACCCCTCAGGCCTTTGCACGAAACCCTTCCCTGGTGTGGGAGTTCTACCATTATCGGCGGGAGGTCATGCTCAGCAAGGAGCCAAACCCGGGGCACCTTGCCATTGCCGAATGTGAGGCCCAGCTGCGCGAGCAGGGCCGACGGGTCATGGTCATCACTCAAAACATCGATGAGCTGCATCGCAGGGCTGGCACTAAGAACCTTCTGGAAATCCATGGTGAGGGGCCCTCATGTGGGGGCAAGACCAGACAACAAAACACACGTCCTGCTGTTTCCACCTGGACCCACTGTATCAGAATCTGCATTGTTATGATTTTATTTATTTATTTGAGAGCACAAGCAGGGGGACCAACAGACAAAGGGAGAGGGAGAATCAGACTCCCCACTGAGGAGGGAGCCCGATGCGGGACTCGATCCTAGGACCCTGGGCTCATGACCAGAACTGAAGGCAGACACTTCTTTTTTTTTTTTTTAAGATTTTATTTATTTATTCATGAGAGACACACACAGAGAGAGAGAGAGAGGGGGGGGGGGCAGAGACACGGGCAAAGGGAGAAGCAGGCTCCATGCAGGGAGCCCAACGTGGGACTCAATCCTGGGGCTCCAGGATCAGGCCCTGGGCTGAAGGCGGCGCTAAACCACTGAGCCATCTGGGCTGCCCTGATGGCAGACGCTTAACCGACTGAGCCCCCCAGGTGCCCCCAGAATCTGCATTTGACGAGACGGCGACACGAGGTGTCTGGTGTGCACATTACAGGGCAGAGGTGCAAGTGCCCAGCTGGGCTGAGGGGGGGAGAGAAGAGGCTCGGGCTGTCGAACAGCTATGGCTTGAACATGAACCACCCGGGAAGAGCCTGGCATTCCTGGGGGTGGCCGTTTACTTTCCGCAGCTTGGAGGCTGCGCGGCTGCTCCACCCGCAAGCCTGGAGGAAGCTGCCAGATCTGGGACCTGCCCTGTAGCAAGCCCACCGAGTCTGTGATGCCTGTGGAGGTTGTCTTACATCCCGCTGGCTTCCCTTCTCTGCATTGGTGACACCCTGCTTCTCCCTCATGTCCTCTTTAACCCTCCCTTTGGGGCTTACCAAAAGTCTAATCAGTCCATTCACACAAGAGCATGAGCATAAATGGGCATGCGAGATTTCTTCCCCAGGGTGTTTGTATTTAAGGGTCTACAAAACTTGCATCCCAAGGAATGCATTTCTTAACTGTGGAATTTCCAGAAGCAGTGACCCAGTGGGGAATGTTGCTGGTCTCTAGGTATGCAGTGAAGTTGCACATTTTGGCCTGAGATAATGGCAGTTGAGCAGGGTTCACTTGGGGCCAGTCTCACTTTCATGTCCCAGCAGTAGTCGGCCACCTGCTGACTTAGTGCCTTATTGGCACCTTCTTTGACTGGGTCTGTCCATGTGATTCTTCTCATTTCTTTGCAGTGTCAGAATGTAAGTGGTGTCACTTGCCATGTATAAATGTATAAAATGCAGGTGTTAACACCTATCTTATAGTTGTTTTAAGGATTAAATAAGATAGGGATGCCTGGGTGGCTTAATGGTTGAGCATCTGCCTTTGGCTCACGGTGTGATCCCGGATTCCCGCAATTGAGTCCCACAACGGGCTCCTTGCATGAAGCCTGCTTCTCCCTCTGCCTCTTTCTCTGTGTCTCTCATGAATAAATAAATATTTTTTTAAAAAGGATTAAGTAAGATAATACGTGCATATTAGTTGGGACTTGGGGGTTGCAGATAATTAGAACTCTCTTCCAATTTAGGTGAAAACAAAAGAAAACCCTTCCTTTCATCAAGCTAAAGATGCCACCAATTTTAGGGTGCATCATACCCAGCGTGGGGCTTGAACTCACAACCCCGAGATCAGGACCTGAGCTGAGATCAGAGTTGGATGCTTGACTGACTGAGCCACCCAGGCACCTCAAGATCCATCACATTTTTTTTTTTAAAGATTTTATTTATTCATGAGAGATGGAGAGAGGGGCAGAGACACAGGCAGAGGGAGAAGCAGGCTCCCTGCAAGGAGTCTGATGCAGGACTTGATCCCAGGACCCCAGGATCATGACCCAAGCTGAAGGCAAACGCTCAATCACTGAGCCACCCAGGTGCCTTGATACATCACTTTTTTTTTTTTTTAAAGATTTATTTATTTATTTATGATAGAGAGAGAAAGAGAGGCAGAGATACAGGAGTAGGGAGAAGCAGGCTCCATGCCGGGAGCCCAACGCCGGACTCGATCCCGGGACTCCAGGATCACGCCCTGGGCCAAAGGCAGGCACCAAACCGCTGAGCCACCCAGGGATCCCCCGATTCATCACATTTTTTATGTGAACCTTATGAAGAAAATAGTCTGCCGAAACCATGATATTTTATTATCCTTTAGAATTGTTATTTTGTACTTACAGGAATGGTTTGTTAAAACTTACCTAGACACAGATTTTTAGCACCTATATTGCGCTTTTGCATATAAAACACAAAATGTGAGTGAAATAAAGTGGTAAGGTATGTCTTCTGACCCAGCTTGTTTGTATCACTTGCAAATAACTCCGAGGCGTCAGTGACTGTCTTCTGTGCGTGCTGAGGGGATTGGTGATGCAGCATTCCGTAAAAGGCTTCATCTCCTTGTCTTTGGGTTCCCTTCCAAGCTGCTGACACACATCCAAAGTCTGATACCAAGCCTTTCTAGATCTTTCCCAGAGGTGTCAGTGGAAGAGTTACAGACAATAACTAGGACTCATTTTCCTCCTCAAATGGTCCTTCAGTGGTTTGTTGGCGTAAATGGCCAGGGCTCGCCTTCGTTCCATCAGGCCACCAAGAGTAACACCCAAGCCGCTGCCCATCTCACTCGTCATCGTTACCCTTCAGCAGGTGTGTGATCGCAGGCTACGACAGCCACCTCATGTCCTGCATCTGGCCTGGTAACAGTCGTAGGACACATGGAATTTCAGAGATGCTTACATGGGGGAAATGGCTGTAGTAAAACTGACAAAATAAGTTATTGTCTCATAAAACTTAGGAGTCCTGACGTGGAGATGATATCCTTAGCAGACTGTCCTATCTGTCCTTGAGTCCCACTGTTATTCCCCAGGCTTTGTTCACTCTTTGAGTAAAACCTCACTTCTCCTCCTGCCCTTTGAGTCCAGGAGGCAGATGCTCTTAGCTTCTTCAGGACTGCTGTATGCCTTTGTATTTCCCTTCATACCCAGAGCAAGCCCATTTGTTAAAATGAACATATAAAAAGTAGATTATTTTATACCCATTTAGACATGGAGACAATTGCTCTTGATTATACTCTGTTCTAGTCTTGTTTAATTTGTGTTTTTCAGGGAGCTTATTTAAAACGCGATGTACCTCTTGTGGAATTGTGGCTGAGAATTACAAGAGTCCAATTTGTCCAGCTTTATCAGGAAAAGGGTAATTATACTGCCCTACAGAATGAGTGTGTATTATTTTCTCTTAAGTTGAGCATGAATGTAAGGAAATTAAACATTAGCCTAGGAGTCCCATGGATATTTGTAAGAAATAAGACTAGATACAGTGCAGCCATGTGATGAAAGAAATGTCTTGCTCAAAATTTACAGTGCTAAGTGAAAACCACAGGATCTAATTCTTACCTAATACTATAATATGATTCTAGTACACACACACACACACACACACACACACCCTTCATGTTGGCATGTCTGTATATAGGTAAAAGACCAGAGGAAAATACAACCAAATATTATTAGCAGTGATTATCAAGAGTGGTGGGATTATGGAAAATTTTGATTTCTTCTTTATATCTTTCTAGAATTTCCTAACAATTCTATGATGAACAGGTACTATTATAATTAGGGAAGAAAATAAGAGTAGACTTGGAATATTGAGAAAGTTTTTACTTGGCCATTTTATTTTTTTAAAAAGATTTTATTTATTTATTATTTGACAGCACAAGCAGGGGGGAATAGCAGAGGGAGGGGCAGAGGGAGAGGGAGAAGCAGACTCCCCACTGAGCAGGGACCCTGACATGGGGCTTGATCCCAGGACCCTGAGATCATGACCTGAGCTGAAGGCAGATGCTCAACTGACTGAGCCACCCAGGCGCTCCTTACTTGGCCATTTTAAATCAGTATAAATTACACAAGTAATATATCAATACAGTATTGTAGCAGAAGATTCAAGTTATGATGACGTACACAGTGCATATCATGAAACTCCCCTTTAACATACCGGGCGCTCCATCCCCTCTCCACATACAAATTCCCTCTCTTGAGGTATAATCACCAGTAGTTAATTGTTTGGCGTCTGTCCTTCTAGTCCCTTGTAAGTCGGCATGCGTTAATTATGGGTTTTGTACTATATGCTGCCAGGCAAATATGCAGACTTCTTGGGTTGTGTTATCTCTTTGTTCTTTGATTATACCAAAGACATTGTTTCTTGTTCTCCTGTTACTTACTTCAGTGCTCCAGACCCTGAAGCTCAAGATGCCAGAATCCCAGTGGAAAAACTTCCCCGGTGGGTACAAAAGCTTTGATCAATGTTTGGTTTCCCAGATTTCCAGAGATTCCTCTCCTCTCCTCTCCCTCACCTCTCCCTCTCCTCTGCCTCTCCCTCTGCCTCTCCTGAGGCAGAGACACAGGCAGAGGGAGAAGCAGGCTCCCCACAAGGAGCCCGATGTGGGACTCTCCCTGAACCAGGATCACACCCTGAGCCGAAGGCAGGCACCCAACCACTGAGCCACCCAGGTGTCCCAGAAAGATTATTTTTATGTCAGTTTTTCAAAACCATATGTTACCACAGTGTCTCCTAAAATATTTCATAGAGCACTAGATCCATGTGATATTGATGGGCATTACTTGAAAAAAACACATGTGCTAAAGTAAATATAGAAATCACATATTAAACAAAGTCAAAGTATGTTTGCTTTACTGCAGGACTTCTCAGAGCATTTAATATGCTGAAATACACTGTTTCTTTTAATTTTTTTTAAAGATTATATTTATTTGTGAGAGGTGGGGATAAGACAGAGACAAAGGGAGAAGCAGGCTCCTTAAGGAGCAGGGAACCCAATGTGGGACTCCATCCCAGGACCCTGGGATCATGACTGGAGCCAAAGGCAGACATTTAACCGACTGAGCCATCCAGGTGCCCCACAGTTCCTCTTTAAAAAGTGCTTACAATATGTTAATATTTCACCAGTTTATTTAATCACAGAACCCTTTTTATGATTCTTAGTAAGGATTTTCATTAACAAATTCTAAAATTTGATCTAAAACAGTAGGGAATCCTGGTCAGTTCTTTAGTAGGAGGTTGTCGTGATGAAAATGATGTTTGGAGGATTATTTTAGAAGCTGTATGTAAGAGGACCTAGAGGTAGTAGGGAGTGAAAGATGAGAGGTTTTTGGTAATTGACACTGAAGAATGTGACTGTGGTCAGGGCAAGAAAAAGGTGCCTCTGAGGAAACAGGAAAGGAGGCCATTGATGAGACTAGCATGTGGTTGGGGTGTTAGAGGCAGGTCTGAGCCTGGTTCCTCCCAGGCAGCCACACAATGTGTGCTGTAAAGTAGCTGGGAAAGAGGAGGCTGCTGTTAAAACTCAAAATCCAACTGAGTCAATGTTGGAGATCCATTTGGCTTTATCTGAGATTCATGCTCAGGCAGCTGACAGAAAACAGGAGCCCCAAGGAGCCACACAATGGAAGACTTTTATAAGGCAGGAGGAGGCAGGGAAAGGAGGTTTTTTTTTTTTTAGCAAAGAGGGAATTGTTTTCAGGCAAAGTCACCTTCCTTTAAGGCGCCCAAGGGGGTGTTTCAGGCAAATTACCCCAGTAGTGCTGACCAGGTCATTCCACATTGACTGGTTAAAGGTCATATTCTCCAGAGAGCCTGAAGTTGCAGCCAGGTTAGGTATGAAGTCTTGGTTTGCTGGCGTGGGGCTTAGCACAGTGACTCCAATTTGGATCTGTTGTCTGTCCTTTTTCTTTTCTTTTTCTTTTTTTTTTTTTTTGAGATTTTATTTATTTATTCATGAGAGATACAGAGAAAAAGGCAGAGACATAGGCAGAGGGAGAAGCAGGCTCCCCGTGGGGAACCCAGGACCCTGGGATCATGACCTGAGCCAAAGGCAGATGCTTAACTAACCACCCAGGCACCCCTAAAATGAGTACTTTATATTCAGGATAAGCTCACATGGTCTGAAAGGGGAGGAATACAGGATAAGAAGGATCAGAGCCACCTATCTGCACAGACTGGATTTGGGGTAGCCCCTAGCCTTCCTGTGACCCACCTGGGCAGACCTGGCAGGGCAGGTGTCAGGGTTGGGTGAAGAATACTGTTCTTACAGGTGTGAAGAGGCAGGGTGTGGGGGCCTGCTGAGACCTCACGTCGTGTGGTTTGGAGAAAATCTGGATCCTGCCGTTCTGGAGGAGGTTGACAAAGAGCTGACCCTCTGTGACTTATGTCTAGTGGTAGGTCTCTCCTTTCCCCGATCCTTGAGATTTTCTGGAACACTGGAACTGGGATGGAGTTTGTTGTATTTTCCCTCCCTCTTTCCTTTCCTTCCCTCCCCCTCCTGCCCCCTCCTGTCCACCCCCCCCCCCCGTTCCCTTTCCTTCCTTCCCCCTTCTGATTTGTGTGTGGAGAGATTTTGTGGTACCCTACAGAAAAATGAAGAAACAATGAATATGTATTAATCTTAAACATGAAACTGTGTAGGACCATATCTTGGGCTTCACAAAGCCCCCCTCCCCATCCAAAAAAGAAAGAAAAAAAGAAAAGAGTATGTTATTGGTTCTGATTTTGAAAGTACTACATGCTCATTATTAAATTTGAGAAAATACAAAAAGTACAAAATTATAAAGAGGAAATTAGAAATCACCAATAGCTCTACCATCCAGAAAAAGCCACTGTTAGCATTTTAGTGTATTTTTTTCCTAGATCAGAAGTGAGAAATTGTGGCCTGTGGGCCAGATCTGGGCTGCCACTTGTTTTTGTAAATAAAGTGTTATTGGAACACAGCCATGTCCATTCTTCTATGGGTTGTCTATGGCTGCTTTCACGCTCTAATGGCAGAGTTGACTATTTGTGATGGAGACTGTCTGGCTTACAAAACCTTAAAAAATTACTATCTGGTCCTTTACAGAAACACATTTGCCCACCCTTGGTCTTGACCTTTTCTCATGCAGATGTATACATATTGTTTAAAATTCAAAAATGGGCTCAGATGGTATGTTCTGTTTTGAAACAACTTTATTCGCGTAGCAATTCACTTAGCATATTTCACATCAGTACATCCACAGATCCGCATCATCTTTTAATTGGCTGCATGGCGTTCTATTTCCTGGATATAAAATGAGATATTTAACCAATCCTCTCTTTTTGGACACTTAGGCCATTTCACATTTTCATATCTTAAATAATGCTGTGGTGAATATTCTTAGACGTAACTTCTTAGTATGCTCTTCAGATCCTTTCCTTAGGACATATTTTCCTAAAAGTGGAATTAATTGGACAACGGGTATGCATATTTGAGAATTTCCTTAACATGTCTTTAAAAACAAGCACATTCTCTTGGGTGTGTATTCATCCAGCCAGTATTTATTGAGTGCATTCCAGTGTAGCATCAGTGCTCATGACTGAGGGTCAAATGAGAAAAGCTGGTTTGTACAGTGTGTTCTGGTCTTTCCTTTCTTGAAAAGCACATTTGTAAATACATATTTGTAGGGAAGAACCTGAAAGAATATGTATCAAAATGTGAACAGTTGTTATCTTGGGGTAGTAGGATTATGAATGACACATATGTTTTTTTTTTTTTTTTTTGAAATTTCTAATGTTAAAAGGGGGCATAGATTATTGGCATCACCTCCTAGAGCAGAAACTAAACTGAGTAAATGATCTGCCATTTCTCTCCATTTGTGCTACATTTCTTCTAGAACAATCTTTTCTAGTAATCAACCAAAAGAATGTCTCCTAACTTCCCATCTCTCCCTTGGAAGCTTCCCAGTGATCCCATCTAGCTTAGTTTCCCTCACATCCAGAGCCACAAACCTGCCTGAGCTTATGTAAGGTTTTCTGAGAATGTTTTTTCTGCCCAAAGTGTGGTCATTCATCCGTTTCCATTCCTTTGCTTTGTAGGTGGGAACTTCCTCTGTGGTTTATCCTGCTGCCATGTTTGCACCCCAGGTGTCTGCCCGGGGAGTGCCAGTGGCCGAATTCAACATGGAAACCACCCCAGCCACCAACAGATTCAGGTACAGGGATTACCAAGGTGGGAGATGGAAGGTACTAAGCAGATTGAGACGTGTCATCTGAACAGACCTTACCTACTGTTCTCATTTAAAAAAAAAAAAAAAAAAAAGACACAGAGTTTGTTTTCTAATTTGGTCTATAGTTGCTTTGATGGAAGAACAAAATATCGTTAACTGTAGACCAAGGCAGCTATGTCTTTTCCCAGGGAAATTGCCTTAGGGCTTTTGTTGTTCATATTTTGAAACTTCTTTGATGAACATTTTGAAAGTTCTTTGATTCCGTAGCCTTGGCTTTCATTTGCATTTTTCAGTGAGAGCTGGTAATGGCATTTAGGTGTAGGTGAGTTGAATACCCAGCACTTAGTCGGGGAGATGCCCGTGCAGACCTCTGTCACCCACTGTTCTCCCTGGGCAGCAGCCAAATATCTCCTGAATATCCTTAATATTAGACTTGGGGCCATGTCGTGGTGCTGATCCTATCACCCATATTTGCATGGAAAGTGAAGACCATCAGACAATGCGTTTTTAGTCTCATTCTGAATTGTTTTATGCTCAGCTTCATTTTGCTTTCTTTTTTTCACGCTGTTTGGCTGTTGTTGTCATTTTAAAGATTTTATTTATCTATTCATGAGAGACACAGAGTGGCAGAGACACAGGCAGAGGGAGAAGCAGGCTCCCTGGGGGGAGTCCTATGCAAGACTTGATCCCAGGACCCTGGGATCACAACCTGAGCCAAAGGCAGATGCTTAATCACTGAGCCACCCAAATGCCCCTTTGCCCTGGCTGTTTTGTCTTCGCTTTATTTTAATTTCTATATTTTTTATCAGTTGGCTCCATACCTTTCTAGAATAAGGTAGAACATAAATAACTCATAAAGAAATATGAATAAATAAAATATAAAACTTCACTAAAACTTGTTATCATTACGTTAGCCAGTGGTTGTCATGTCAGCTACATATTTAAAAAATATGACTGGGTACCAGACATGAGATTCTGATGTAACTGGTCTCATGTGTAGCCTGGGCATCATGATTTCCATAAACTTCCTCAATGATTCTGATGTGGAGCCAGGATGAGGACCAGCATTCTGAGTCCTCAGTGGGATTAAAAAAAAAAAAAAAGTGCCATAGACTGTATGTAAATACACTTGATGATCCTCTGCAGCTGGGCTGACTGAATCTAATCTCCTCCGTCTGTTTTAGTCAGTATGTTTGTGTCCTCAGTCCACTTCTTCATTTGTGTGTAAGTGGTAGGAAGTAGGAAGACATTCTCTTAAAAAATTACCTTCTATGTAAAACCGATTCTTTGAAAACTATACAGTAAAAGAGATGAAAAGATCTAAGTCTGTCGAAGGACCTTCGTGTCCTTGGACCAGACACTATTGTTAAGATGGCAGTACTCCCCAAGTTGAGTTACAGACATAGCTGGTCTCTATCAAAATTGCAGCTGGCCTCTTTGCTAAAATTGGCAAGGTGATCCTAAAAGTCATATGGATGCATGGGGGCCAAAATAGCCAAAACAAAGAGAATGATGAAGTTGAAGAACTCACACTTTGCAGTTTCAAAAGTTATTAGGAAGTTACAGTTTATTAAGACAACGTGGTGCTGACATGAGGATAGACATCTACATTAGTGGGGCTGAATTGAGAGTTCAGAAATAAACCCTCAATCTATGGCCACCTGATTTTTGGAAAGGGTATGAAGACAATTAAGGGAAAGAGTAGCCTTTTTTTTTTTTTTTTTTTTAAAGATTTTATTTATTTGAGAGAGAGAGTGAGAGAAAACATGAACAGGGGATGAGGAGAGGGAGAAGCAGGCTCCCCATCGAGCAGGGAGCCTGATGTGGGACTCCATCCCAGGACCCTGAGATCATGACCTGAGCCAAAGGCCAACACTTAACCACCTGAGCCACCCAGGTTCCCCAAGAGTAGCCTTTTTAACAAATGGTTCTGGAATGGCTGAATTATCACCTGCAAAAGAATGAAATGAGACTCCTTCTTCATACCACATATAAAAATTAACCCAAATGCACGATAGACCTAACTCTAAAAGCTAAAAGTATAAAATACTTAAAAGTAAGTTTTTGTGGCCTTTAGTTAGTAAAAGCCTCTATGACATGACATCAGAAGCACAAATAACATAAGATAAAGGGGTAAATTGGCTTTCCATCAACACTAGAAACCTCTTTACTTCAATAGGCCCCATCAATAAAGTGAAAAAACTCATGAAATGTGAGGAAATATTTGCATGTCTAGGGACCCCAGGGTGGCTCAGTGGTTGAGCATCTGCCTTAGGCCTGGGGCATGATCAGGAGGTTCTGGGATCGAGTCCTGCATTGGGCTTCTTGCATGGAGCCTGCTTCTCCCTCTGCCTGTGTCTCTGCCTCTCTCTCTCTCTCTCTGTGTCTCTCACGAATGAATAAATAAAATCTTTAAAAAAAAGAAACATTTGCAAGTCTATTATTTGTATGGGACTTACATTCAGAATCTATAAAGAACTCTCACATTTCAATAATAAAAAGACAAATTGTCCAATTTAGAAATGGGCCGAATATTTGAATAGACATTTTTCTAATCATAATACACATGGTCAATAAACATATTGAAAATATGCTGGGGCAGCCCCGGTGGTGCATCGGTTTAGCGTCGCCTGCGGCCCAGGCTGTGATCCTGGGGACCCAGGATCAAGTCGAATGTTGGGCTCCCTGCATGGAGCCTGCTCCTCCCTCTGCCTGTGTCTCTGCCTCTTTCTCTCACTCTCTGTGTGTCTCTATGAATAAATAAATAAAATCTTTAAAAAATATGCTGAATATTATTAAATTAGGGAAACGTAAATTAAAACCACCATGAGATTCCACTTAACAGTCACTAGGATGGCTATGATTAAAACAAAACAAGTATTGGTGAAGAAACTCAACCCCTCATCTGTTGCTGGTGGAAATGTACAATGGTGCAGCTGCGTTAGAAAACAGCTGGGCAGTTCCTCAAAAAGTTAAATGCAGATTTAACATATGACCCAGCAGTTCTCGTTGGTATATAGCCAAGAGAAATGAGAACACGTGTTTGCACAAAAATGTGTATGTTCATAGCAGCATTGCTCATAATAATCAAAAAGCAGGAACAATCTAAATGTCCTTCATTTGATTAGTAAATATATGAAATTTCACATGTATACAATGGAATATTACTCAGCCATAAAAAAGAATGATCTACTGATCCATGCTACAACATGAATAACTCTTGAAAACATACTAAGTGAAAGAAGCCGGACATACAAGACCAGAAATCCTGTGATTCCATTTATTTGAGAAATCCAGAAATCAACAGAGATTCCAAATAGATGTGTAGTTGTCTAGGGTTTGGGTCAGGAAGAATGCGAAGTGTCTGGTTTTGTTTTAAGATTTTATTTATTTATTCATGAGAGACACAGAGAAAGGCAGAGACATAGGCAGAGGGAGAAGGAGGCTCCCTGTGGGGAGGCCGATGTGGGACTCAGTTCCAAGACCCTGGGATCACAACCTGAGCAGAAGGCAGATGCTCAACCACTGAGCCACCCAGGTGCCCCTGGGAAGTGTCTGTTAGTAGGGAGAGGTTTCTTTTTGGGGTGATGAAAATGTTTTAAAGTTGATTGTGGTGATGGTTGTACAATTTTGTGAATATACTAAGAAAAAAACCATGAAATTATACATTTTAAACAGGTTATGTGTGAATTTTTTTTTTAAGATTTATTTATTTATTCATGACAGAGACAGAGAGAGAGTCAGAGACACAGGCAGAGGGAGAAGCAGGCTCCATGTAGGGAGCCTGATGTAGGACTCGATCCCAGGACTCCAGGATCATGCCCTGGACTGAAGGCAGGCGCTTAACTGCTGAGCCACCCAGGGGTCCCCGATTATGTGTGAATTATATCTCAATAAAGCTGTCCTATTAAAAATTAAGTTCCCTTCTAACTTATCCCCTGAAAAATAGATGTGAGGCCTCTAATATGCACTGTGGCACGCATGTTTAGCACCAGGGCTAGCATGCATCCTGAAAAGGAACATCAGAGCCAGACAACACTGGCCCCTCATCTGTTTGAAAGAGCATCAGAATCCTCCAAGAGGAGGAAGGAATCAACTTTCTGAAGAAGGACGTGAGGTACATCCCCAGTCCCTTCTAATGTGGTTGATTTTTAGTCATATGCTCTCCAGCTCACCTCTACTAAGTATGAAAAATGAAGACAAATCATCATGGTAGGAAAGTAACAAAATGCAGGTGAGGAAAAAGAAGAAAAGGAGACTGCTTCCACAGCCCAGAGCTGGCCTCTACCCCTTATGCCTGGGACTACCCAGCAGGTACTGGGCATCCGTTGTGTGTGTCTTCCTGTGAGAGGAACATAGTTCTCCTGCAAGTTGGGAAGAGAATTGTGGCCTATAATATCATTTCACAAGTTGGCCCTCTTAGGGGCGCCTGGGTGGCTCAGTGGTTGAGTGTCAGCCTTTGGCTTGGGTCGCGATCCTGGGGTCCTGGGATCAAGTCCCGCCTCAGGCTCCCTGCATGGAGCCTGCTTCTCCCTCTGCCTCTCTCCCTCTGCATCTCTCATGAATAAATAAATAAAATCTTTTAAAAAAAAAGAAACTTTGATCAAATTTTTCTTACCAGTGTAACTGTCCCGTGAACGATCATGCTTTTATGCAGAAGTCATCAAGCTGGCATTGAGAAGAGATGTAGATGATTTTCTTACCCGTCTCAACTTTTCAAACAGGGAGCCAGGCCCTAGAGTGATAGAGTTTTCTAATGCACAGTTTAATAAAGGCAGGATTTTCTCGTACATCTCACGTGCAATAGATTTTGGTTGAATTTTACGCTATGTGAGGGCTCGGCAAACTGCTTCTTGTAGACCAATTTCACTCACAGTGTATTTGTAAATAAGGTTTTATTGGAACTTGGCCATGGCCATGTGTTTAGGTATTGTCCACGGCCACTTTGGCCCTACAACAACAGAACTGAGTCATTGCCACAGTGT